GGCCGGCTGGGCTCACCCTCGGGCCAGGCCCGTGATCCCTGCGCCTTCCCCCCTTCCTCCCCTCAGCTGCGGCTCCGGGCTGAGCGGGGATTACATCTCCGAGGAGGGTCACTACTGGATTGGCATGGACATCAGCCCCGCCATGCTGGGTGAGCAGCCCCTCCTCGCCTCGCCTCGCCTCAGAGGTGGCCCCAGCAGGGGGAGCTGGCAGCTTGAGCCGGGCGCTGTTCTGTGCAGATGTGGCCGTGGAGAGGGAGGTGGAAGGAGACCTTCTGCTTGCAGATGTGGGTCATGGCATTCCCTTCAGGCCTGGCATGTTTGATGGCTGTATCAGGTGAGTTTGCTCTCTGATACTCCACGTAGCTGCATCGTCTGTACACGTTCCGCGTGTGGTGCCGAAGAGAAGAGCGCGACTGTCCCTGTCAGCCTCTCTCTTTGCTCAGTGCCACTTGACTCCACCTCTCCGGGACAAGCTGCTGAGATTCTGGGTGGCAGAGGCAGCTTCCGACAGCTGTTTCCCAAGGGGTGCTTCTCTTTATTTTGTGCTGGTGAGCTAGGAAGTTCATTGAAGTAAATAAAATAGCACTGGGGATATTGTCAGGAGGGTCCCCGCCTGGACGCGGTCCTGTGCAGCCTGCTGTAGGTGACCCTGCTTCAGCAGGGGGGTTGGACTGGGTGACCCACAGAGGGCCCTTCCAACCCCTACCGTGCTGTGATTCTGCTCCAAGGAGGAAAACAGAGAGTATGTCTGTACCATTGCTCAGCTGCAAGGTCAGTCCCTGGATCAAAGGTTTAGCGGTTGGGTTTGGGCTGAAGGGCTAGCTGAAGGGGACAGGAACACTTTTCTACTTAGAGAATACCTGAGGAGGGTGCTGGGAAGGAGCAGGGACTGTCTGTTGCTGGTGGAACACTTTGTTTGGGATTGCTCACCGGCAAAACCTCCATGTCCACACAAGGGTCACAGCTAAGCACGTGAATTATTTGAGCACCTGGCCTAAAGAGGGTGCTTGGTGATTCTGTTGTGCTTGAATAACTACTGCACCTTGCTGAGTTTTGGCACAGAGAGTCTCGGGGGGGTGTAACTGCAAAACAGAAGGCAAAGCGATATGGAGAAAATGAAGTTGTTTCCCTGAAGCCTAGTACATGCTTAGTGCTGGAAGGAAGCTCAAGGGGGGGTGCTAGGCTCTGCGAAAGAGTCACTGGCTCAGCGTCCCAGGGGTCTTGTTTTCTTCCTCAGTATTTCCGCAGTGCAGTGGCTTTGTAATGCTGATAAGAAATCCCACAGCCCTCCAAAACGCCTTTATCGATTCTTCTCAACTCTTTATACTGCCTTGGTAAGTGTCACGCTCCCCCAGTCAGGCCTCTGCCTGCTTTTACCTCCTTGTGGGTGCATTTTAGCAAGGTGCTTTAAGTCGGGTATTTTAAGCAAACGCTGCTCTGAAGCGGAGGACTGGCAGCAGCACCGGTTTCCTATCTCCTTGGCGGTCTGCGTGCTGCGCCGTGCTCCCCCGAGCGCTGCTGTTACGCCGTGCCTCGCCGTGCTGCCTGTAGGCCCGAGGATCCCGAGCCGTGCTGCAGCTGTACCCCGAGAACGCAGAACAGGTACGGGACGCCAGGCAGCGGGGAGGGACAGGCAGGGACAGGCAGAGGAGTCGTGTGCTGGTTGGGGCTCTGAATGCGTCGTGTTTCTCCGTCTGTGGCTCTGTCCTTCCCGTCACGTGTCAAGCTCTTCAAAAGCCCAGAAAAAACGCGTGAGGAGAACGCCCTACGTAATCTCTGTTGCTTCACAGATTGTCTTGGGCTGAGCCTGAAACAAATTGGCAGGACGCGATCTGAATCTGCTGTCTGCATTTTCCCGTGTGACTGGGTTTGACGACTGCCCTGTAGTCGTCAGCACTGTGCTGTTAACTCCCCAGGGCTGGAAAATCCAGCCCAGTATCCCTCTGCTAGAGAGTCTGCTGCGCCAGTTAACCCAGGCTAGACTGAGGAGCAGGGAGAGCCAAATAAAGGCAGCAGACTGGTGTCCGGATGCTACTGCAGAACTGGGAGCTTGGTGCAGAGTTTAACAGGAGCAGGAGCAGCCCGCCCTTGGCATGGGCAGCTAGCTGTGGCTGAGCCTGGAGGTCTCGTGGGCAGTGCTGGTGGACAACCAGTCAGTAACTTCTGCGTGTGCTTCTTTTTGCAGCTGGAGCTCATCACGGCCCAAGCCATGAGAGCTGGCTTTACCGGCGGAATGGTGGTAGATTACCCCAACAGCACCAAAGCCAAGAAGTGAGTCCTGTGTGTCTGTGTCTGTGTGTGCTTGGCGTGAGGCCTGGGTTTAGCAGTGAGGTTTTTTTCCCAAGCTGTTCCCTTTCCCATGATACAGTCCTGGACAGAGGTTACGGCTTAGATCTGACTGTTATAAACAGTCTCGGTCTTGCGTGGGGACTGGGAATTGCATGCCGAATCCCAGCTTCATGCTCCTCGTTCTTGTTCTTTCAGGTTCTTCCTTTGCCTCTTTGTTGGGGTGTCTGGCACGTTACCGAAGGTGAGGAGCTCCGCCAGGCAGCAGAGTTGCCTTCCTGGCTGCGGGGTGATGTGGGAGAGCTGTGGGCGAGAGCGGGAGCCAGGCAGCTCTGCGTGTGCAGATGCAACTTTATTTGTGCGTTTGCTGTCAGGCTCGCCAACCCCTGCTCTCCCCGAGATCTGGGTGCTTTGCTGCGATTTCTGGAAGACCAGTTTGTTCCTGCTCCAGTGCTTCCCCTTGCAGAGCCCTGGCTTCCCCTTAATGTAGAAGGCGTGACCGTTGGCTCTGTCCGCTCCAGAGGAGCACGAAACTTCCCAATTCTGCTTTTCAGGGCCTTGGTACTGAGTGTGCTGATGGAGAAGAGATGCACCAGGCCAAGTTCACCAATGAGAGGTATCATGGGGGGGGTGAAGCTTCAAGTTCTCCCCAGGCAAGGAGCGAGGCGGGGCGCGGTATAAGGACTGGGTTTTGCTGACTGAGGACCACAGCACTGCCATGGGAGAAATGACTGAAGGGAGGGGACTGGGAGGGCCCCGGGCACCCCAGATGGGCGCTGCTTTGTCTTGTTGAAGAGCCCCAGGCACAAGGAGCAGAACGGGTTGGTTTGGAGGGCTTTGCTGTGGCTGCCTGGGGCTGCTGTTGCTGCTTACCCGAGAGCTGCAGCTGAGCATTCAGTCTGAGCTGCGCTTTCTGTCTGGCACTTGGCTCTCCAGCTCGGCGCTGTAGCA